TGACCCCTCCCCCCCCATGTTGTAACACACAGCCGTGACATGTTTGGCTTTCAGGAATTTGGGGTACAGTTCCTCCCAAACCCCTGCACCGATCTTCTTGAAACTTGACAGGTTTCGTGCTCTCAGCAGAGGCTACCATCCTTGCAGGTTTCATCCAAATCGGACAAAAAGCAACAAAGTTATAGATATTTAATTGATTCCCCATTATACCCTATGGGCTGATCTCCGAGGCAGCTTTGGAGCTGCTTTGGCCAGATCGAGGTGGAAACCCGGTCTGGAGCTCCGGATCGGATCGTGGCCATCCAAAGTGGCAGGATCCGAAGCTGGATCGGATCGCTACCGACTCGGATAGGCCTAGTGTTTGGCGCCTGCTCTGGGTACTTTAGGACACACTCTGCATCCGTCATGGAGCAGATGAACACTGGAGTGGGCACTGTGTGCAGCATGATCCTGGAGTAGCTGGAGCAGGCACCATATGCAGATCCATCCAGCGCACCCCACGTGCCACTTGTGGGTCTACTTGAGACCCTTGGGCAGCACCACAAGCTGGATGATGGGGCTCCAGGGGCAGTATCTTTGAAATCCCTGCATTAAAGGAAGCACTAAAGTGTGATATGCTGGTTTAATTACATAGCTCTAAAGCAGTGGTTTGCTGCCTGTGGTCTGCAGATTATATCTAAGGGGTCTGCAAAAAATGTTGATTGATATCAAAAGTATATGAATACCCATGCTTACAATTCAAAGGGGTCCACACCTTCATTTGAAATTTCTAAAGGGGTCCACACCTCTATTCAACATTTTTTAGGGATTCACAAACTAAAAAGGTTGCAAACCACTGCTCTAAAGGGAAGGTGAATATTTCTTGTGCTTCATAAATTAAAACTTTTCCAGATTTGTAAGCTATTGATTTAATCTCCTAATGTAAACTCCAGAGGTTTAGTTAGCAAAAATTTTAGCTAGTCATGTTTTTGAAGTGTGCATGAGTAATCAGTTGGGAAAATGTAAATTAAACCCTTCTAAAGTGCAGTTCTGTTCTTAAAGTGTCTGCAGTAATGTCCAGTGGGATTCCTTGTTTGTGTCCCAATGTTCCATTTCAAAAGCACTCTGTGTAAAAGTAAGAAAGAATAGTTTCTAGGGTCGGAAGGGACCTGAGTAGATCATC